ACTGGCGAGCAACTGAGCACCTTGACGACTTCAAACTGTTGCGGTGCCTGCATCTGCCCTACTTGAGAAGCCCTAGCGGTGCGAGGCAATCGCTGACGGCTTTGAAGTCTCTTGAAATACTGCGACGTGGCTGGGCATGAGAATTTGCTGTGGACGACGGCACTGGAGGTACTTCGTGGTGGGATGCAGCGCAAACAACTGGTGGGGCCTGCGCTACAGACTCCGATGGCTGTGTTGGTGGAAGGGCGGACGACTTGTCGTTGCTCATTGATGCTGTTGCTTCTATTGCCACACGTCCATAGCTCATGGCACCGTGGCATGCTGTGGGCATCTCAAAAGGGGTCTAGATTTTGGTTTTGTGACTTGCACAAAGTCGCTGTTCATGAAGCTGTGTTGGTAGTAATGGACGTTGCAGCAACTCCCTCACATCACGCAGCGTTTGTGTTCACACCAAGGTCAAGCCACATCTAAGCACAGGAATAGCTACAGCGTTGTCTGGAAATGGCGGGCAATTCACTGGCCGGTACGACGATGGCTATCAACGCCCTTAAGTTCGAGGCGAAAACTTGTCGGCCCAAGTTTGAGGCAACAACCTTTGAAACCTGGGAAGTTGTCCGCAAGAAGGACTCCACATTGTCGGATGGGGCTTGCTGACGTATCGCAACGACAGTATGCTCGCAGCATTGCTCGCTTCCGTGACATTGACGGTGGGGCTTGGGTATTTTGACAAAGGCGTTATTACGCGTTTGTCGCTTGTAAGTGACGGGCTGGCGAATAGGTGTGTTGAACGAGATATGGCAATGTATATCAGGTAAGCCGTCTGACAGTACTCACCAGTAGAAAATAGCCTGTTTGCGATGCCAATTGCGATGCCATTGGACACAAATTGATGCCATCACAGAACCTTTTATGCCATCGCAATCACTGTCACGGCATCACTTTGTGTCAAAATAGCATCGCAGTTGGCATCGCAGACATGGTATTTTCTACCAGTGACTTGGCTTCACAATGTGAACAGGGCCTTTGCACAATGCGAAAGCGGGCATGTGCATATCCGAAATCCTTGTTTGCTCTTTTTGCCGCCCACATTTCATATCCTTTCCAGGAAAGACTCATTGAGTCTCGGCGACCACCGGTGGCAAGGATGGTGCAAAACAATGCGTTCAATTGTGGCTGCTATGAAATCCAATGGATGGCAAAGCGGTACTACTAGCAAACAAATAAATGACAATGCTGTTGGCCACTGATGTTTTGTCCAAGACTTCTGATTTCGCCCCAAGCCCACCTCCATGACCACTTGCTGAAGGTTTCAATGGACTGCCGCATAGGAGCCACCCCAATGGACACGATACTCCAGGTCTTACAAGTTTGTCAATCAACGCGCATTAATTAGTGCGCATTACCTAGAGATCTCGCCAGATGCTCACTGTGCAACATTTAAGTGTAGACCTGTTTGGTGGGTTTTGCCTCTCTTCACGCTAATGTTGTCTCTTCGCATCTACTTGTGGCCGCTGCGGCCGACAACCTACTTCGGGGAGCCAGCTTGGCAACCAAGTTGGCGGCGCTGGGCGGGAAGCGAATCCAAACGGCAGAAGCCACTGCAAAAATTTCAGTTGGTTGAATCCAGCGAAAGTCGGGCACTGTACTTTTTGAATTTCTGACATCGGGATCTTGTGTCTTAACGCTGTTCAATGTATGGGAATATTCAATATATTGAGTTGTCGGCTTGCTTTTGTCCGCACCGCTCCCTATGTACTACTTCCTCCGTCCCATATTAAATGTCCTCTACGAATTCGGCGCACCATTTCTCCACCATATCTTGTGTTTTTTCAATGAAATTTCGTCCAAAGCTGTACGCATTTTTTGGAAGTATACGGACAAAATTTGAAGTCAATCTGTCAAGTATTAATGATTTGGCAGTACTTTGTAGCAAGGGTCCTCTTGCCAAAATCCCATCGGTTTTTCAAGGATTTCGCGAAAATTTCGCCGTTTTCGCTGTTTCGAGAAGGACACGTTCGCGGCGGCGAAACAGAGCCGCCTATGCAAAACTATCCATGCCACTAAGACAGAAGGTCGGCGTGGTGCTTGTGAGGAAGTGCGGCGATAGGAATCGCGTTCCGAAGGCCCTGATCGTGTAGCTTGCCGTAGGTTGGAGCTGAAATTCGGTGCTGGGCTGGTGGACCGGAGCTAGCTTCCGGCCCCAAATTTTTGGGCCAAGACTGTTCGTCCTCTATTGGTGCCATCAAAACAACAGAGGGTGACTCTGAAACCCCCTGGAAAGGCGACAGAGAAGGTGAAGCCCAGCACCGCATTCAGCGGCGGCCGATTGTGGGAATTGCTGCCATCGCGAGATTGGCGAAATTGGGTTTGCTGTGAAATTTGAAACGGCTAGGCACGAGGCAAACGGCTAGATGGCTAGCGCCGTGTCTCTTTCACAAATCGAAACTAGCTAGGTGGTGATGGATTGTAGACCGCACAAAAGAGGTGGTTGTTGGTGGCACCTCATGGATCGTGGGCCAAGCTGCCTAAGAAGGCCTCGATTGAAGGATCAATTGATGCAAAATACCCATGCAGAGCCACACAAATACCTTGGAGTGGTAGAGCGCACAGGGCCCAGGCTTGAGCGCCCTGGATCTTGGCTTATTTAGTTGGTGGCAGGTCCTTGCATCTCGGATCTAGGGTCACAGCGAATTCTGGCATCGTCAACGTTGTGACGATGCCCTTCGGCAACGACGATCCATATACCGTCGGCCGTGCTGGACAAGCGGTATTCCACGCAAGGGGTGTCGCCCTTCACCACGGAAGTGGCGAACCCATCTCCTTGGTTGTCCGGGATGGGAGTGACCCAGAACCGTGCGGATATCTAGCGGAACCGGAATCGGCGCGCCCATTTTTTCCGAATCCAAGAGCAATTTCGAAGGTGCACTTCAAAGAGTGGGACTAACTTTTTTCCCTCAAAAAATGGTAGTTAGGGGTTTTAGGACCCAATCTTTCTGATTCTGACCTTGTTTTGTACCTTTGAAGCCTTCCTTGTAATGAATTTCGTACTTCAAATAGAGGACATTTAATATGGGACGGAGGAAGTACTAGCACAGAGAAGTGACTTCTCTGATAGAGATATCCGCCAGTCAGCAAGTTTGTAATAATGTATACTGAAGTGCAAATCCATAAGCATCTGTATTCTCTGCTGCATTCTATCGTTCATACGGCTGCGATCTGGATTGAAATCTGTCAAACGTGTCAAGGAACGCCCAGCCGTTTTGCAGAGTCCTCGTTTCACACGCGGTCCGGACAAATCGCCAGTTCTCCTCTCTCGCCAAGCAGAGATCCGCGTCCCAATGCTGAAAATCGCTATCTCGCGATTTTGTGCACATGAAAGCGAGGACGAAAACCACGATAGCGGCCCCCGCAGGAGCATTCCGGGATATATAACACCGGAGTGCGGGCGAGAGGATAAATGCTCCCCACGTCTCCTCCTAACCAGGAGTGCACGTTAGAGGTGCACGCAAAGGAGAATTCTTGGGAATTGTCTTCTCATTTATGCACGCGTTAATATTGCATGCTTATGGGTATTTACACGTGTAAATACTCAAGAGCATGCGCATATGTACGTCAATACATCTTTACCTTTCACGTGTGTATGCGCGATAAATGGACCCTGTGGACGAGCAGCTCACTCAGCCAGTGGTTGTCAATCGCCCTCTCTCGCCATATCACCCAAAAGAGTGTTCAGGCCGTCCGTAAAGTATCTGACGGACACGAAAAGCCCATGGACCACCCGCTCATATATGTGGGTCTTTCGCGTCCACGGACGTCCACGCGTATGTACACCTACGGCCTGGTCATACACGGAAGCGGGGAGTGCATCAGGGGGTCCACGCAGTGGCAGTCAGGCGCTCTACAGTGGGCAGAGGACCGCGGCTGTTCGAAGATGTCGTCGGCCTTAGCAAGGGCGAGGTGGATGCATCGATCCCCATGTGGGGTGGCTTGATCTTTTGTCTGCGACTTCACCACGTGACATGTGTGTCGGTGCAATATGAAAATGCACAAATATAGGCGCAAAAATGGTATTTTCTCTTAAACGGCTTAGTGAAATAGGGTTGCCGCACTTTTATACATGAGAGCGTAAACGAGAAAATGATGCCGTGAACGTGGAAGGGGAATGTGACGTACTGCCAGTAGTGGTCGGTGTCTGATGCATGCGCCCCCACGGGGCTGGTCAGCCACGCCCATGCCGGATTAACACGACACACAACGGCCAGGGCGCCAATTTCCCTGCGCGTGCAAAGGCCGCTTCAGGATGCGAAGATATAAGGACATCTTCGCGGACGGCCATCTCCCAATCAAACAGCGTCTACTCGCAGATCGCGTACGGCGTGGCGACAAACTTGCAGAGTCATTGGCGGAGTGAATCAAGGGGATTCAATTATGAGACTTTGGGTCTCGCAAATGGGAGCAGTGAGCCAACTACTGTGCACAGCTCCCCCAAGATAGAAATTCTATTTTATAGAATATTTATTACTGTAAATTATTTATCATTATTCTACTTTCTATTTTATTCTGTTCTAAGACGTTCAATGTCGCTGGAAACTGACGTGATGATGACGTGGGCTGTCCGGGTTGTTAGGGTAATCCTAAACCCTAAAAATAAAACCAAACCTTAAAAAAACGCACAACCTAAAACCAACCTAAAAACCTGAAAACCTAAACCAATCAAACCAACCCAAAAACTAAAACAACAACCACCAACCAACCAACCCTAAAACCTAACTTAAAACTAAACAACCAGCCAGCCAAACAAACAAATTTAAATCGTAAGAAATCTTAAATCCAAAACAAACAAACCGTAAAACCTAAACCAAAAACTAACCCTAAAAACCAACCCGGACAGCCCCTAGTTGAACTCGTCATGTCAGTTCGCAAGGATGCCGCAACGCCGACCGCCAGACTGCCACCGAGACCGCACGCGTCCCCTCCGTGTGTGTTGGCGTCTGGCCGCCATGGGCGGCTGCTGGGGATCACCAGGTCATCACCGGAAGCCGCCGGTCGTGGCCGCCACCAGCGCGGAGGGGGATGGCGATCAGGCGAGTGGATGCACGAGTCACACGCACAAGTTGGTTGCCCCGTCTGCGTGGAGCTTTGTTGGCCCTTGTTGTCAATTTCCAGCAGGGCAAAGTTGCTGCACGCCGTTCGTTGTTTTTATGCCAATGTGGTGGAAACAGTTGCTCGCACTGATCGAATACAACGCTCCGTGTTTTTGCTTAAAACCCTGATTATTACACTCTTTGGGTCTGGGTTCAGGGTGCATAAGCTGGTGAGAAAACTTGGGGGGGTGGGGGGGTGGGGGGGGTGGGCGGGTGGGGAGCCAAGAGCAGGGCATGTATTTGGATGGATTCACATCTTCCGTGTGGGCTGACATCGCCTCGCACTGTCAAAAGTCCACATCCTTTCGGTCAGGGTGGGGTAGGGACCCAAACTCACGAATGTGAAGCGAGAACTGGACCCCAAAACTTGTCAGTATTTTGGGGTTCAGCAGAGGTTGTGAGCTCTTTTAGTCCTGTTTGGCTGGCTTGCACACTGGCAGCCTAGTAATACATGTCTTCGACCAAATCAGAGGTGTTGAAATACTAACTGAAATTGCGTTGAGCGGGAAATTGTGTGCACAGTATATAGTATGGGCGGGAATGTATATGCACAGCATATGATGTGCAAGTGAAGGTGCAATATGCACAACTCAGCAAATACTGACTGTTGGTTGTGTCTCTACTGCACTGTTTGCAGACCTGGGCACAGCTGGCCCTTGAGCTGTTGGACAGAATTTGGGAGGCTGCAGAGCGAGCCTTGTGGCAAGGGGATGCTGCCTTGGGGATTGACAAAGGCACGGATGAAGATTTCCGGGAGGAACTATGTGAAGGACGCATCTATGAATCACTGGCCAGAAAAGCACGAATAGAGAGAATTAGGGAAGCCAGACATCTACAAGGATCGTGGCCACTTGAAGCTGCCAAAGCGATTGACAAAAGCATGTACAAAGATTTCCAGTGGAGACTGTGTGAGGCAAAGCGGTTCATAGGGGCTGCCCACCTGGTCAATTCCCACTGGTCAGGTTGGGCGACACGGAAAATTTGTGAATTGAGACCTGAATGCGTGTCATTGTGCGAGGTGGTCGATGTCATTGAGAACCGACTGGTGAGTGTGAAACGCCTGAACCTCTGCTACTGTGCGGGAGTGGATGACGAGGCATTGAATGCCCTTGGCAAGAATTCCTCTCTCTGCCATGTTGAGTTGAGGGGATGCGCTGGATTCACAGAAAGGGGTCTGCAGGGTTTGACTGCATCAGGCACACTGTTGGCACTTGATCTCAGTGGGTGCAGAGGGGTAAACGATACAGCACTGGGTTTGCTAGCTGGCTGCAACAATCTGCGGCATCTCAAACTGTGCCATTGCCCTCGGATCAGCGATGCAGGAATGCAGGCTCTTGGGAGTCTGACAGTCCTGGAGAGTCTGGCGTTGGATTATTGTCGGGGAATCTCCTATGAGGGATTGAGTGTCCTGACTGGAATGGGAGCTTTGCGCAGCGTCACACTGAACGGCAATAACAGCATTATTACATATATAGGTGTGCAGTTGTTGGCACATGTTAAGAGGTTGCAACACCTTGAGCTACACGGCGGGACTAACATGGCCTTTCTAACCCACACAGACCTGCAATGGCTGTCCACTATGACAGGACTGCAACATCTGAACCTTTCACGCCGTGTAGTCAAAACTTCTGGCTTGAGCTTGCTGGCAAACCTCTCTAGGCTTCAGCACTTGGATTTGAATTCATGTCAGGGCATTAGATATGAGGGGATGGTGTGGCTAGCGGATCTGACGGCACTGCATCATCTTGACTTAGGGGGCTTGCCGGGTGTCTTGGACAGGGTCTTTGTAGCCTTGAGAGGCATGGAGTCACTTGAGTACCTGAATGTGAGCGGGTCGGCTATTACAGATGAAGGGATGAAGCTGCTGGCATGTCTGACAGCACTTTGCTATTTGAACTTCAGCAAATGCAAATTCATCACTGATGCTGGGATGAGTGTGCTGTCAGATCTGGAACATCTGCAATATTTGAACTTGCGCAAGTGTCGCAAGATCACCGGTGTTGGGATGTGGTCACTGACAAGGCTGACTGGGCTGTTGCATTTGGACTGTGGTGCCAATGTTTGTCTAACAGGTATGGGGTTCGAATGGATGGGTGGCCTCAGGAAACTTCAATACTTGTGTTTTGCTATTTGTGAAAATTGTTATGGTGCTGAAGGGATGAAGCAACTTGGCAGCCTGACAGCTTTGCAACATCTTGAATTGTGTGGTCCTGTTATGTCGTCCATAGGTTTTGAACAACTGAAGGGCGTTAAGTCGTTGCGCACACTCTTGCTCCCAAGGGTTATCGTCACCAACAAGTGTTTGCAGATGCTGGCAGATTTGACCACTTTGTGCACCCTTTGGTTAGGGCGTTGTGAGAAAATCACAGATGACGGGCTGAAGGCCCTTTCCCACTTGACGGGGCTGCGTAATTTGTTTCTGCAGCGCTGCACCCGAATTTCTGGCAGGGGTTTCAGCTATTTGTCAGGCACAACTTCGTTGCGTTGCCTAGGCTTGGACGGCTATAGAAGTGCCACAAAGGTGGGCATGAAGGCTCTGGCCACCTTGACAGCACTAAACGAGCTTGTATTATTTTCTTGGCCGGGCATAAGTAGTGAAAAGCTAGCGTACTTGACGAGTTTGACACAGCTGAGACGCCTGCATCTACCCCACAATGGTTTCTTTTCATCTGCGAAGCAGTCACTGGCGGTTTTGACATTTCTGGAAGTATTGTGATGTGGCTGGGGAGGAGAATGTGCTGTGCACGACAGCATTGGAGGTACTTCATGGGATGATCCAGAATAAAGAACTGGCAAGAACCTCTCTGCTTGAGACTCTGGCGTGGTTGTGTTGGTGGAAAGACAAAGTCAACACGTTTTGCGTTGACCATGTGCGTTGCGGCTGTCTTTGGGTGGTAGCATGGGGGAGTGGAGGTTCATGGGCCGTGGCACTCCAATGAACCCATCAAGCTGATCGATCGTCAGATTCAGCCTCGTCAGAAAAAAAAAGTGGCATTGGGTGTATATTAGTGGAAAAGGCTTTTTTTCTCAGGTTGGCGACACATTTAGTGAGCAGTAAAGGGCATTTGCATTGTGGCAGTTGGCGTGGTTGGAATCGCCTTTTGTGCTTGACAACATTTGTGGATCTGGATAGCATCAGGAAAGGTTGGCAGATCCTTGTATTAGAATGGCTGGACCTGCGAGAGTTTGCCCTCTGGCGTGTTGCTTGGGGTTGGCTTGTGACGGATATACCATGCATTTAACGGCTCCAGCAGCCCCAAATCAGTGGTACAACACCTCGCCCATCTCGGTGGTGAGCATCACTTGTTGAACGCACCATCGTATTGACACCATATGAACAGGCCAGCAATAGTCAGATGATGGATGGACCACAGCATGGGTATGCTCACTGGCAGTTAAGCAAGCCCCATGGCTTTGATTCATGATTTATGATGTCCATCGGCGCATTTGTTTTGGTTGTCTTCGGCTTTTCAAATATTTTCGACTTTACGGCAATGACAACATTTCGAATCCATTTATTGCAATGGAATTGCAAACCTATGTTCACATAACTCAAGGAGCTCCTCAATCTTTAGTTTGAGGCCACTAGATATTCAAACAGCAGACATTCCGGTGCATTTCGAATCATCGCACAACCAAAATTTACAATCCACTTTGAGCTCCACAGTGCAAGCCACAGTGCCATGAGCCTGTTGGCATATATACGCCATATACGGTGAAAGTGGAAACAGCGGCATTGATGACCAACGACTTGTCACTTACACAAAATGTTGCTACTCATGCAATTGTGTTGGCTGGAATGATGTTGGAGCAGCTCCCGCACATCGAGGTTCACGCAGCATTGGCGTTTTAACTCCAAGGCCAAGCCGCAACTAGGCGCAGTGGTTTAGAGTCCTTGCCTTCATATTGCGGGCATTCACTGGCCAGTGCGCCGATATCCACCAGTGGCCTCAAGCTCGAGGCAACAAGCTTATCGCCTTTAGGTTGAGGCAACAACTTTCAAAGGTTCTTTGCAGAGAAGCCGGCGACGTTGTCCTGCATGAAGAACTCCATACTGCCGGATGGCACTTACTGCTGTAATCACTAGCAAAAAGAAGACCAAATAATACTTTTTGCAAACACACATACATCCATTTCATCAGTGTTTTCATGTTAAAAACATGAAAATGACCCAAACACGTAAATTCTATACACGCTTGAACACGTGTTATTTGGCCCTTTTTTCTTAGTGAATGCAGCGACAATCTACTGGAGAAATTGTTCACTGGCCTGGCGTTGTACAGCTTGACTTGGGTGTGGTGCCGAAAGCTATCAGTAACAGCGTACTGAGTTGTGTGTGACCGGGACATGGCGACGTACATCAGATGAAGCATCTGGCTAGTCATGACTTCACAAAACGAACCGGAACGGGTTGTTGACCTTTGTACAGTGCGAAGATAGGCGCATGCTGTTCGGTTCACCACAAAATGACCAACATTTCTTGGTCACTTTTGTTCATGGTAATTGAATACGGGGCTAGGCATGTGCTCCAAGGCGGTATGGGATGGGGTTTATGATGCCGTTTTTTCTGGTGCACTACTAAGGACGGCGCCCAGGGCCATCAGGGCTATTACCGCCGCCCGGAGGTGGCGGCATGGCACTCGTTTGAGCCTTACGAAAGGCTGGCCTTTTGGCAGCTGTTTGATGGGCCGGTAGCGTCGAGCCACGGGGGCCAGCAGCGGGGGCGAGCCGCGGGGGCGAGCTCCGGGGTGCAGTGTGATAAAGTGTGAAGTGCAGGGAGATGCGCCACGGCGCCACGCCATTGTGATGGCAGAACCAGCAAGCGAGAGTTGATGGGGTTGCATCATGTGAGGAGGGCGCTGGGCGCCAGTTTGGTGGGCCGGAAGTACAGAGGACGAGTGTGAGCGTGGGTCACAAGGTGATATGGCGCTTGTGCACGGCAAACTGGTGTGGCGTGGGGTTGGTATGTGATGGGGAGTGACAGTGAGACATGGGAGTTAACTACAGTGACATGTGAGAAACACACAGTGAAGTTCCTTGGGTATGTCCACGGTGTGTTATGTGCCGGTAGAGGTATGAATATGGATCTGCTCACCCCAGTGGGGCAGAAGCCGAGGATTGCAAATCCTGGAGACTTGTAAAAACTTTTGGTTTGCCTGTGTGCCGATGGGGCACCGGTGATGCACATTGGAGGTGGCAATTCAGACGACCCTCAAAGGCTCAATGATATTACATCATGGGTCGGTCTCTCAGGTCAGTTTGTGATATGTGTGAATTTTGATGGCCATGGCGGGCTCCACTCATGATGGGACGTTGTGGCCAAGTATGAGCATGTATTAGAGGTGGCCACCCGGATCCGTTAATAGCGGACGGGGGCTGCCGTCCGCTAATATCCGTTAATTTAGCGGACCCCGCCCTCTCTGTTGCTGATGTGGCATGGATGGCAGCGGACGGCTGGCCCCAATCAGCGGACTCTGCGGATTCCGCTTGGGTGTTAACGGATATTCTCTTACGGACCGGAAGCCACGTACCCCATCCGCTAATCTAGCGGATGACAGCGGACGTGTGTACCGAATCAGCGGATGATAGCAGAGCCCATGCGGTAAGTACTGATTTCCAAATCTGCGAATCGGGTTGATTGCCAGCGTGGCTCAGCCAGGGTCCACATACAGCGGACCTTGGCTGTGACTGCGCATATATTTTGTTGCCCTCCTGTTGCCATCCGCCGTGTCCAACCCCCCTGCCGCCCCACGCTTGGTTCGTGGA